ATCATAAGGCAGGAAGTAGGAGTGTTTCTCATTAGAACAGATTAAGGCTGCTTCTGGTAGGCAAAAAGGCATGTTGACAGTTAAAGGAATTTAAATCCACAACAGTTTGTAGAAGTGTGGATGAAAGTGAAGCTCACTCTTTGCTCTGCAGGTCTTCTGTTAATCAGATATATGAAGCTCACAGGTGTTTGGGCTCTGTCCGAACCAGCCCCACCGCAGGTACTAGTTAGCAACACAACTTTGGCAAGTTGATCCACAGTCAAGAGAGCAACACTGGCACATGGAAAGTTATGCTTAACTCCAGACTACCCAGACTCTCAGTCTCATCCCTATCCCCTGTGCTGTGCTCTAACTGCTGATGTCTTTGCCTTTTTCTTCACTCTGGGATTTCACCCCAGCCTGAACTGGAGCATGATGTCAGCTGTGTAAGCACCTGAGAAAATACAGAGGGGAGCTGAGCAGAATCTGCAGGAGAACAAGAGAAGTGATCAGAGTCCTAAGGGCAGAAATGAAAACCTGTGTGAAATGAAATGAGGGCCGTCTGGTCTAAAGAGAAGATGCCTGGAAGGGACATAACAGCCTTCAAATACATAAATGGTTGCTGCAGACAGGATGACAGAAATAATCTGCTCCCTGTGGCCACGGTGAACATGACAGGACATAACAGGCTTAAATTGTAGCACAGAAGATTTTTGGTTAAAGACCACCAAAATCCTTGTAAAACTAAGTGTAATACTGTGATGGATTACCAGAAGAGATTTGGCTGCTAAGAGTAAGGTAGACAAAGGCCTCCTGAAAACAGACTATTCTCTTGCTTTGGGGCTGAGCAGTTAACATCTGTTAGAGACCTTCCTCAGCCCCAAGAGGCTGTTGCTAACATATCTACTACACCAACATGTAGCTATTTATCAGGATGAGTCCTGACCCTCAGAGCAGGCAGCAAACATCACACTGTCCCACATTGTGTTTGCTGTCTGGGCAGGTGAGAAAGCCAGATAAACATACAGTTAATATGAAAACTGACACAAAAAAAAAGCACCTTAGAATACCTTTTTGGAGGGTAACTCTATGGAACAGTGACAGAAAATAAAAGAGTGGCAGAAGAACCACACTAAAATAAATGGGAGGCAATTCCAGAAGCAATTGAGGCACCTAGTACCCAGGACACAACAAATCCAACACTGCTGTTAATCACCACCTACCAGGCACCATTAAGCTGTACTGGCTATATTCGTTCTCCCATCCTCTGCCACAAGGACAGGTAAAATCCACATGGGTCCTTCTGTCCCTGAATACACCCAGAACAGTACAAGTGTGGAGGTTGCTGGAGTTTCCAACTGAGCCATCAGATTGATAACATGCTTTACTTCTGCTCCTGACTTAGTTCTATCTAGACTAAATTCAGCAATAACCTAGCAGGAAGAAATAAGCTTTGTTACATCCTTGTGTAGGTACCAATAATTGTTACCAGCTCAGTCATAAGTACTCCGAAAGACAGAATATCTCATCTTCGTACTACTGCTGTCTGCTACTGACCAGAGACGAGCACACACTCACACTAGAGCTGTAGAAACTGCATCCAGTTTCATAGAATAGTGGTGTGTGTGAGAGAAAGTATTCTTGCAGCACAAGCTCCAGCTCAGGACCTACAGCTCCTATAACAGACCTGCTGAAAAGACACCAAGCTCTTCATACTCATTAATATCAATATCTCTAAGGCTGGTGCAAGCGGAATGGTGCCAGACTCTTTTTAGTGGTCACCAGAGACACAACAAGGACAAAGGGCCATAAACCAGAACACAACAAGCTTCCCCTCAACATGAGGAAGAACTTCTTCCCAGTGAGGGTGGCAGAGCACTGGAACAGGCTGCCCACAGGGGTTGTGGAGTCTCCTTCTCTAGAGACGTTCAAACCCATCTGTACATATTCTTGTGCAACCAGCTCTGAGTGGCCCTGCCTTGGCAGGGGGTTGGACTTCTGGATATCCAGAAGTCCCTTCCAACCCTAATGGTTCTGTGATCTGTATCACAAACCTGGCACTCTCAAGCATGTTAAAGCACATATGTTCCCAAGAAGACAAGAAGCACAAAACCACTTTAACGGCTACGTTAGGGAGCACATTTCCCAGGACAAGGGCTATGCCAGACGAGGCAGACACCACAGCCCCCAGAGCTTGATGCTGTGCAGGCTCCATAGAACCACATATAATAGTTTGGGTTGGAAGGGATCTTAAAGTTCATCCAGTCCCAAGCCCCTGTCATGGCCAAGGACACCTTCCACTACAGCAGCTTGCTCCAAGCCCCTTCCAACCTGGCCTTGAACACTGCCAGGGATGGGGCAGCCACAGCTTCTCTGAGCACCCTGTGCCAATGCCTCAGCACCCTCACAGGGAAGAGCTTCTTCCTTATATCTAACCTGAATCGCCCCTGTTTAAGTTTAAACCCATTCCCCCTTGTCCTGTCACCACAATCCCTGATGAAGAGGCCCTCTCCAGCACCCTTCAGATACTGTAAGACTGCTATGAGATCTCCATGCAACCTCTCTCTTCCAAGCTAAGAACCCCCAGTCTTCTCAGCCTGTCTCCACAGGGGAGCTTCTCCAACCCTGATCATCCCCGTGGCCTCCTCTGGACTTACTCCAACAGTTCCATGTCCTTATGTTGACAATACCTGACCTGCATACAGCGCTGCGAGTGGGGTTCCACGAGAGACCACGCAACGATGTGTCCAAAGAGGAGGTTGGAGCTGCCACAACCAGCAACTGCAAGGCTGTTACCGTAACTCTCACAGCTAAATAGCTTCCAAGCACATTATCCTGTCCGGGACCTTCCTAGAGGCTAGGTCTTAACCTTCGCGGTGGGGCAGGCCGGGACACCCCAGCCGCAGACCCCGCTTCGGTGGAGTGCGCCGGTGGAGTGCCCCGGCCTACCCCACCGCGGAGCCGGCAGACCTCATCTAACGATCCACCGACCGCCTGGAGACAACCCCATAGGCGGCTGCGCCCAACCCTCCCTATGGCCACGGAGCCCAGCCCCAAGGCCAATCCACCTCAGGCCCCACCACCCCTCACCTGCACCCCCGGTGAACTCCACGACCGGACGTTGTCCCTCCCGCGCAAGGAATGCTGGGAGCCCTCCCGACTACTAATTCCACTATCCTCTGCGGCGGGAAAGGGAAGCTCCACCTCCTGAGGCTCAGGACCAATAGGCGGTGCCTCTGTGAGGAGGCGGGGCGAAGGACAGCCAATGGGATTTGGTGCTCCGAGGGAGGGAGGGCTGGCGGAGCTAGACCGGTGGCTGAGGTAGCGGAGGGAGCTGGGGCTTGTGGAGTGGTGGTCACGGTGGTTTTACAGGTCTTCGAGCAGTACTGTTTCTGACTGGCCCCTCCTGGGTTAAATTCATCTTTTAAGTCACGTTGGCTCCCACCGGGAGCGGCTTCAGGAAGGCGGTTAGGGAGCGCGGGCGGCAGCTGGCGGTGTTGCCATGGTGACACCGCCGGGGCCGCCATTTTGACGGTTGGTTGTTGTGGGGGTTCCTTCAGCAAGGGATACCGAAGCACTGCGGGTCCCGGGACCTGCCGGTAAGGTGAGTGCCGAGGGCAGGCGTTAGCTCATCTACAGGCTCTCGGCGGGCCCGTGAATACAACCCTGAAACCAGGGTTTCTTTCCTGCCTCCCTCCTGCATCTTCTTGGCATCTCGCTTCTGTCACACCCTGACAGTGAGGCTCCTGGATTGACTTGGCAGGAAATGTCGGCTCTAGTGACATGGAGGAGCTCGGGACTTCATGATTAAAGAATAGTTTGGGTTGGAAGGGACCTTGAAAGCTCATTTAGTTCAACCCCCTCGTCAATGAGGAGGGACATCTTCAACTAGCTCACATTGCCCAGAACCACATCCAGCCTGGCCTTTAATGTCTGCCAGATTGGGGCATCCACCACCTCTCTGGGCAACCTGTGCCAGAATTTTACCACTCTCATTGAAAAGAGTTTCTTCCTTGCATTCAGCCTCAGTCTCCCTCTTCTAGTTTAAAACCATTACCCCTTATCCTATCACAACAGCCCCTGCTAAAAAGTGTCTCCCTATCTTTCTCATAGGCCCCTTCTAAGAATTCAAAGGCTACAATTAGGTCTTCCTGGGGCCTGCTTGTCTCCAGACTGAACATCCCCCACTCCCTCAGCCTTTCCTCATAAGAGAGGTGCTCCGTCCCTCTGACCATTTTTGTGGCCACTCCCTGGATCCATGTCCCAGTTGGCCCAAGCTCTCCAGAAAGGTTTTGTTGTGTTACAGCTAGAAAGTCTGCACTTTATTTTAAACATAGAGTACTGCTTTTTCCCAGAGAAGGTGCTGGATTAGATGACTGATACATCAGACCCAGTATAGCATCCTTAACATTGGGAGACTGAGCTCTCAAGTTGGCAGAGGGAGCTGCAGAACTCTGTTTTTATCCACACGGGACTCCTGTTGTTCCTTGCAACCTCTGCCTGCTGTCAGAGCACAGTAGTGCCGCCTTGGAGAGATTTCCCTCCACTCAGCGCAAATCAGTCAGGTGTTTTTTAGAATGGACAAAGCCACCGTTATGTGAATATGGCATATGAAGTGTTTGCAAATGCACTTTCCAAGTTGTATGCTTCCCTAAGCATGAGATGAGTTTCACTTTATCTTTAGAGGAGCATTATCAGTCCATGCCAATGTAAATAATAGTGACCGTGTAATCACATGGACAGTTACTTCAGTACTGAGTAACATACAAACCTCTCAACCTTTCTTGCCAAAGAGAAATTATTTGCTTTCACTTTTGAATCCCCAGGAAACTGTGCAACTGTAGCTTAAAATGTTAAAAGCAAAGGTTTTCCATGAGGATTAGTTATCTAACTTGTTAGTACAGCAGTAGTCCCTACTGTGTTGTCTTGACTCCTCATGTACACCAAGGAACACATGAGGAAAGAGTTTGCTTTATAAACACTTTGTCAGAACCCAAGACCATGCCTACTCTCAACTATTTTTATAGAAATCCAATGAAAAAAAACCCAAACATAAATCATTTTATCTATCATCTGAGCAGTAAGGAGGGGAACATGGGAGAAATAGGGATGAGGAGTAAACACCAGCTGAGAGCAGAGGCATCAGCTCTGTCTTCACTGCGTGTCTTCCCTCTCCATGCTGACAGTGTCAATATACTTCTCTGAGAACAGTTACAGTCAGTGTTGCTAAGAAACCCCAAAAATGGTTTATGAGGGGCTAAACTGCCTCTGATGTGGCCCCAATTATGGGTGTATATGGTGAGCAGGACAGAAAGCTCTCAGCCCTGTGAACTCAGGAGGGAAGGCACAACTCCAAAAATGCATTTTATTGTTCTCTGCTGATAATGAAAACCCTACTGAGAATTATAGCGACCCTGAAACCACATTCTTTGTTCTTATTCTGTTCTGATGTTACCCCTTGTGTTCTTTTGTGAGGTGTATTTCAGCTCATCTTTCATTTGGCTGAAGGGAAGCTGTTCCAATGGCCTCAGAAAGGCAAAGTGAGGATACAGAGCACCTGTCTGAGCCTCCTGCAGCTCCTCTTCAGAGTGGCAGAACATTTCAATGGGGAGCTATACTTGCTGCAGTGAAAGATCAGCTACCATCTCTGGACTCTGATGACTCCACAGTAAGCACTGAAACCTGCCTTTCTTTCTCACTGTCTTCTAGAAAAATCTCTCTCAAGCAAGAGAAGGTCATCCCAGCCAGGCATTTCCCAGTAGCTAGCATGATATCCTCGGCGGGCTACCTGTTCTGACTGTTGGAACACTGCATTAATCCACAGCCTTCTGGATTATCTCTAATTAGCAAAGTGTAAATGCCATCTCCTCTCGCTGTGTTCTTTGGAACGGGAAAGTGGTACTGTTTTCTCCAGACAATGAGTATTCCCAGGCTGGGAAGAGGAGGCAGTGGGCACCTTGCAGAATGAACTGTCATTTCTTCTTTGTTTGGTTAAAAATACAGTATGAAAGAAGCATACTGTTGATTTAAAATGAGATTATAAGGTTTTATGTATGAGTGTATTAAGTTACTCATTCCAATAATGTACTTGCCAGACAGTAGCCCTGTCGGTATGTTTTTGTATGTATGAGGATCACAGGGAAGTGATATTCCTGAAGACTTTGTGGTCCACTGGAAAAGGCATTTGGCAGATATTTCAATCCTGGATTCTGCTTTTTTCCCTGCCTGTAATTCTCCACAGGCCATGTTGCCTTCTTGTGCTTCAATTCTACCTGTAAAGAAGCATAATGCCACGAATCATTTAACATAAAGCCTAAGATTGATAGATATTGTGCAATATGCTTCACCATTTACTTGCTGGGTCTTAGTCTCTGGGACAGGCTGCCTCATGGCTGCTGAAGATCTCTGTTCACAGAACAGTGACAGTTTGGTGGAAATAAAAGCTTCTCTGGCACAAGATGCTGCCTCTGGCATTGACTTTTGAGGTGATAATGTGTCTCAAGGTTTCATTATTAGTGCCCTTTTATCTAAACCAGAATATTTTGTTAATTTTCAAGCATGCATAAACTTGAATTTGTTTTATTTTTTTTAACACTGAAAGGATATATATTCTTAGCGTGGCCCTTACTGATAGAAGGGAGTCTTGTGGGCAGTGAAGGAGCCAGAAATGCCTCCATGTGGTATTTATTACATCAGACTAAGTCAATCATCAGAAGCAGTGTGAGCTAGTGGATAAAACGGTGATACGAATTCCTTGACTGTTTTTCTGCACCCAGCTCTGTCTCTAACACGTGGGATAAGTCATAGTGCCTCAGTGTTTCTCAGTTTCTCTCTACCCACATTCTGGTTTAGTTATTTAAAACAACAATTTCTATATGTGTCTATATAATATAGGTTAAAGCCCAGTACTCAGGAGTTGTTTTTAGGCATTCTGACTGCGTAAGTGTACAATAAAGTTATAACAGAGAGGCAGCTTTGTGACAATTTGGTAACAATACCATTCTATAACTCTAAATCATGTTGAAATTTTTTACTTATAAACAAACTCCAAATTCTGTTCTATGACATCTGGAAATCCCTGCTGAAGGATCTGAGGCAATCTGCTTGGTGCTTACATGCTACCCTTAATTTGCGTTCAGAAGATCTGGTTATATAATCCCCATCCTGCTTAGTGTGGACCAGTTCACTGCTGAGCCTGCAGTTTCAGCACTACACCTGTGTCCACGTGGTTTCCACTTGTGTGAAGATACCTTTATGCATCTGAGATACGTAACCTCAATGTGGTGTGCTCCTGCATTCAAAACCAGCAGTGACAAATGTGTTTAGTATCCTGAAGCACATTCGTTACCCTGATACACAATTTATTAAGAGGAAAGAAGTTCTGTTGCAATTTGCTTCATGTTAAGAAAAATTAATTACACCTGACAGAGAGAATTCTCTGCAGTGTGAGTTACTGAAACACACACACAAAGGAACTAGCAGGAAATCTGTGTCCTGACTGCTGAGGAGGTGCTTAATCTCGTTTCAGTGACTAAGCGTAGGGATTAATCTTGAATACATGTCCTATGTTCAGAAAAGAAATTTTCAAAGCTATTTAAACTCTGTGCAACCAAGGAGATACTGCTTTACATCACGAATAATGAATGGCAGGCTCCTGATTGCAATAATAAGCCTCATGGTCCTGCCCTGCCCAGCCTCAGCTGGTGCTCCCAGCTATGTGTCAGCAGCTCTAGTTAAACTCGGCTCTGGGCATTCACTCTTTGAGCTATGTTGGAGGAGTACTGATTTCTGGTTACAGGTTTTGTTAATCCAGACTGTGAATTGACTTTCAGGCTTGATCTCTGACCTCTCTCATCACCACAATTCTTGACTCAGCCTACTTGCTACTTCTGGTTTGTCCTGCTTACTTTGCTTGGGTACTGTAGGACTGGGCTTTACCTTTCCAGTTATGTGATTCCCCTTCCCCTAGGGAGCAGCAGTGCTCTTGTTACTTTGTGATGGTGTATAGGGCAGCACAAAGTTAGAGAATTTGCGCACTCTTGTCCTTACTTTGCTCAGAGGAATGTTAGTCACCAGTGCCCATGGCAGTTCAATGTTTTACATCATCTTTATAACTGTAGCTTGCTCAAATGTTAGGTCACTGTAAGCCTATCTAGAGTGAGGCTGTGGGTCTCTCCAGTTGCTGATGTGACAGCAGAGAAAATTCTTGTGTCTGAACTGTAGTCACATGATGGTGACATAGGATTTGTCACTCAAAACAGATATTAAGGTGAGTGTTACAGGCTCTCATTTAGTTTCTTTTTGGTTTTGATTGCAGCCTGACTGTGACAGTGATGGGGAGCTTTTCATCTTCCAGCGGGAACAGCCAAACTTAATTCCTGACCTGTCAGAAGAACTGATGGATTTTTCCTTGGACGACTCAAACATGCAGGTTGTTGACTGTTGTGTCTAGGCTCTACTACTGTAGCCCCCCTCTTCTGGTTGTCACCAGTGTGGATAGCTGCTGCTATTTAATGTGTGTGATGGAAGAGCAGTCCCCAGTACCTTTTCCCCTAGAGACTAGTTTTTCTCGTTATGCTGTTTTCTCTGTTCTTGAGTTTTTTAGAACCTTTTTCTCAGTTCCTATTATTGTTCTTTACTGTTTTCTTTTTTTCCCTGTGCACTGACACTAACACTGTGCAATGACTTAAACTTTTGCAGGCTCTGAAATAATTTCAGCAACAATTTTATGTATCTAGAAAACAGCAAATCATTTAGGACGGTGTAGGGAGGGGGACAAGTATGAAGCTTAACCCTTGAACAGTGTTTTTGAGATAAAATTATTACACTGCCTCTGCAGTGTCGAAGATGAGCCAGCATAGGAAGGTGGAAGATGAGCCAGCTGACCTGACCCTTCCATCATGGCAAGACTAACACAGTGCTGCTTTTTTCTAATTAACCTACTGTAAGGAATGTCATATGATAAACACATGTAAGGAAAATCAATTTTAAGGATTTTTAGCACTTCATGAAGTTAGTCTCTGGAAAATAAACAGTCTAAACTATTTTCAATGATGGACATGGTGTGTGCTGTTTCCAGATGGTGTCTGAGTTGGAGCTGCTATCTTCTTAACATTGTGGCTTTGTTTGTCATCAGCTTCTAAAGCTTAGGGAGATATGACTTTCTAATTGTGTGTATTTTCTCTACCCATAGCAAACCCAAGGAACAGAAAGCCATCCATGGGAGATCTGTAGTGGAGATCTAGAAAGCTTTGGGTTTCAGAAAAAAACAGATGGTGCCCAAGTCATTGCAAAAGATGGTGTACAAGTGATTAAAGGTGAGACTCCCAGTCTTGCCAGCTATACTGAAGAAATGCAAAACCAAAAGGCAGCTGTTGGTGAAGAGTCTCTTGCAGATCCCACAGACTGCCTTGAAGGGGAAGAACTGGACACGACACAGGCCAGGGAAAGACAGACCTCTTTGCTTAATAAAGCATTGTCTGTGGAGGATTTGAGCAACCGGAAAGAGAGAAGAAAACTGATAGAGACAAAAATACTCTCCAAAATAATCCTGGAGCCATCACGAGGCCACTCAGAGCCAGATGTCAAGCCTTCCTCCCATGATATTAACAACAGCCTATTAAAAACTGATAAGGAAGAAAACTCTTCAGGTCATCTTCAAGGATCGACCCATCTGTCACTGCAGGTAAGCAGCACAAACAACATGTTCCGGGGAGTGCTACTCGTTGAGTAGATGGCACAGAGCATTACTTGCAAAATCCTACTAAGATGAAGAACTGAAATGCCCAGTTCCGCACACACCATGGTGTTTTTAATGGCTTTCCTCATTGTCCTGAGTTTGGAGTTTGCTGGGTCATGTGCTATGCAAGTTACCAAACACTCTTGCAGAGCTGTTGTTAGAAGCCCATAATGGGAGCAAAAGGCAAGGGTCAGCTGCATGTTTCATGGTCATAATCAGGACAGCCAACCACAACCTCTGGACTTGGGGAGGCAGGAACTCTTCTGGTCTCAGCAGACTTTGCATTCAAACAGTGAACCTTCTGGCCTTTCAGCATTTTGCCTTCTTTGTAACACTGTGGGGGTGCTGTAGGTGAGGAGATAAGGCAGTTAGGCTTGTTCCTGAAGCCCTAAATCTCACCTACCTACAGCAGGTGCTTAGGACCGTTTGTGTGTGCTTAACTGTCATGTGGCCTTAGCATGGTGAGGTGGTTCTCTTCAGTACTAGTTATGCATCTCTACTTCCTGTATTGATTTTTAAGGTTGTTAAGACTTAATATGCTCAGAATATGAACGTGATAGTTCTGTTCAAAGCCTTCTATAGCATCAGAGTACAGATGTTTCCCTTCCCCTTTCATATATGCTCACAGATTGGTGTTAGAGCTGTTATGGTATAGGCAAAGAGTGCAGTTTCTTGCCTGTTTTAAACTGTGCTGCATCATTTAACTGTACCATTGTGGGAGGGGATCATTTCTGTGTGGTTCAGGGTTTAATTCCCATCTCATCTCATGTAAGTCAGTTGCTCTATTAATTCAGGAGGTGTGGTTGTCCTTTCAGAATCTGTTTGATATCACTGACTTCAATGAACTGAAGTCTGATGCTTTTGGGTGAGTACTGAGGCCAGGCTCAGTGTATTCTCACTTTGATAAAGGGAGGGTAAAGCCTTATCCTTCATGTGTGTATTTAGATTTGAGAGGTGGTTGTTACTTCCCAGCTTAGAAAGGTTTAACATAAGCCTCAGTTTATGTCAAGTAAAGTTGTTAAAACTAATATACAGTTTCTTCTTGATTTGAATCATACCAATTTGTTTAAAAATATTTTTCCCTTGAGTCCCTTTCTATATTAGAAATGGAATAATGCAAATCTTCATTTCTTTTTCTTCTGGTCCCTGTATAGTACCTTACAATAGTGCTACTTCTGGTAAGGGTTAGGAGAAGAAAGCCTTAATACAGCAGCTGAGGTGGTGGTTTGAGCTTTTGATAATAATGGTTTGTACTTAAGCAGTATTATTGAAACAGAAGCTTATTACAACTGCACATTAATTAAAACAAATGCATGTGTCAGGCTATTTGGTAAAACAGCACCTGCCCAGCCCTGTGACATCACTCTTGCTGCAGTAAGCTCACTTGTCAGCCATCCTTCCCTCCTCCAGACCAATACACCTCAGTGACATCCTTGAACCAGTATTAGCTTTGTGCGGTGTGAGACTTCAGCTTGTGACCCTCATCAAGCTTTTACCTTTCATCACCTGCAGTGTGTAATATTAGAATAGATCTAACCCTGGTTCAGGTGTGTGAAGATTTATTGCTCAGGAAAGAGTGAGAATCCCCTTCTAAATGGCAGGGGCAGGTGACAGGTTTTTACAGGGCGAAACCCCTTGTTTGGGAGGCGGCTGCTGCTGCTGCTTTTCTAAAGCCCTGAGTAGTCACATGAAATGCACATTGGTGGTGACACAATTGTCGTAACTGACAGCCACCTTTCTTTTAAAAAAATCATGGGAACTTCTAAGCTCTAGTGATATTTCAGTTAAAACTTTAATTTCAGCTAATATTCAAAGGGGAAAGCAATCAGTGCTTTAAATGCATGTAAGCTTTTATCATCACAAGCTGGTTCTTGTATCTAAATTAGCAGTGTGCAGTGTGAGCATGCCCACAGCCACTGTATGTGAGTCATAGCAACAAAATTGATGATCCTGTCTTCAGTGTGGGATAAGCAGCTATAAGATTGCATCTAATGCTGCCCGGGCCTAGAGGAGTGGGAATTTGCCCTGGCTGGAAGTTTGACAGGGAGGAAAAGGCTGTGGGCCTCACCTCAAAGAATGAAAAAGCAGAAGGTCCTTCTCATATTGGTAGCAGTGAGAAGTTCTCACCATTATTCTGGTTGAGAATACGTGTGTTTGGTCTTTTTTTTGGCTATCTTTTAATGTGTTTTAGTATCTCTTGTGGTTTTCTGTAGCCTATATCAAAAGGGTCCATGATTCTCAGAGGAAAAACCCTCAGCAGAGGTAGATGAAGCAGTTGGACAGATGAGCTGCTGAAAGGGCCATAGCAAATGCATTCCTTTCATTACAGCACTTCCTTGTGGAGCTGCTTAAAGCAAGCTAGCAGTATAGTTAGGGACATCCTCTTTTGGAGATGGTGAAAGCTTGAGGGAAGACTACTTGGAGGTGTGGACAGCGGGACATAAAACTTGTTGGGATCTGGTACTGTTAGTGGGTCTGAGGGATGAAGGGGCATCCCTGCTGTGGGGAAGACTCCACCATGGGAAGGCATGGGGAATATGGAGCCATGAAGAGGACATACCATGACTTATGTCCTAGCTTATGGCAAGATGGGTCAGGTGGATGGTCAGAATGGACTTAGGTTTCTCCTTTTAAGAGGCTCTCAGTTCAGCCCATTCTAGAAAATTCTTCTAGACTTTGCAGTTTTAAGTAGGGAAAGAGAGAGAATTCCACCTTCATATATTTGAATGAACACTGGTTAGTCCTTCACTGGTTTCTCATAGCAGTCATACTGCACTTGGCTATGCTAGATGTGCAGAGCCTTGGCAGTGCTGTGAGGCAGGCAGTGTGCAAACGGCAAAGGTCCTGCTGTTAGTTGTGCCAACCACTGAGACTCGCACTGAAGCAACTGTGTCCAGAGTGACACACCAGTTCATCTACTGGCAAGTGACAGTGGCTGTTAGGGGAGAAGCTGCTGCCTGAGCATTCACACATGCACCACTCAAAACTTTAACTGCTAGTTTAGTAGTAAGTTTTGGTCTGGGGACTTGTAACACCCTATTAAGTTCCTTCTCTGTCTTCACACAGACAGGCCTTTAAGTGTTCTTGTCGAATTGCAGCTTCTCCTGATGGCTGTGTAGTTCTTGTTTGTGCTTCTTGTGTGCCTCTTGTTGGCAGAGCATGGGACACTAAAACACTCCTAGATGTAGGATAAGCATTACTTATCCACAACTGAAACATCAATGTATTAACAATATTCTTATACTAAAGACAAAACACAATGCTGCACCAGCTTCTAGGAAAATTACTAAGAAAACTATAGTCCAGCTGAAAGCATTGCTAAGTGCAAGTCCACAGCTTGTGGCTCAAACTGTTTAAAACTTATTTATGCCAGATAACTGATATCTCTCAACATTATCATAGTACTGGAGTAAGTAAGGTGGGCTTCCATGCCATTTGTGTATTTAGATGTGCCAGGAGAATCTGATGAGGCTGCTACAAAGAATGTGAGACTTATTTTGTAGCAGTCTTTTGGGAAGGAATTTTCCATCACATCTTGGCTCTCTTCTTTCAGAGCATTGAAAAATGGGATCTAGACAAGATTCTTGAGGAGCCGGAGCAGCAGAAAGATAACATTCATGCAGAAGTTCCTTTCTCCTTGGCAGATCATGGTAACACTGCTAAATTAATACCAACTTTGCTGAAAGTGCATAAAAATAAATAAAACTCGGGTTCCTGTGTTTAAGTCATTCTCTCTAGCATCCTTTTGAATGCTGAAATTATGGTGAGTTTTTTTAATGCCTTTGTAAAACATTTTTAATTCATTTCCCTCAAGTAACCCCATCCCTGGCAGTGTTCAAGGCCAGGCTGGACGGGGCTTGGAGCAACCTGGTCAGGTGGAAGGTGGTTGGAAATGAATGAGCTTTAAGGTCCATTCCAACCCAAACTAGTCTGGGATTCTAGGATTTCATCTTGCTTTCATAGCTTGAAAGCAGTGCTCTGTGGCCTGCCATGGCCTAAGATTGAATCAGGAAAGATGGATGATGGTTTGAAGCGAGTCAGAGCCAGGTGATGATAGTACCTTTATCCTTCCCCTTCTGACAGGCTGTGGAGAAAGAGTCGATGTGAAATTGGGGAAAGAGGATATTGGGTGATCCTGTGGCAGAGAAACACAACTGGTGATTCTTTTTGTTGCTCTTCCATAGGCACCTTCAGGAGTAAATCTGAAAATCAGCTCATGGAAAAGCTAAAAGAGCTGTGTGCCAGGCAGTCTAGGACTATGTCTCCATATTGCAGGTGGCCATCAGCCAAGCTCTCCTTTCAAGAACATCAGAACTATAAGTAGGTCCTTTTTCTGTCATACACATATACACTGGATAATCCTAACTGTCAGTAGGGACACCTGAAATCTCATGGTTTTCTATAGGGGATTTTCTCTGTAGCTTCTGCAGAAAGCTGATATTGTAGTTTGAATACATTGCAGGGATGTTAACGGAAATAACTTAGACTCTGCCATACATGTACATTTGATGATAAACACTATCCTGCCACCTTAGTGTTTTCCATCAACCACCACCTTTGTCTAGACCTTACCAGACACCTGGGACAAGTGGGAAATGCAGGAAAACAAGGCAAAGCGAATTATCGTGGCCACATTTTTTGTCATCTAGGGTATTGCTTTCCCTTACTGGTACCTCAATTTAGATAAGTATACAGGATTTTTTTTTTTTTTCGGGGGGGGGGAGGGTGTCAGCGCATCTTGGAGGGTTCAGTGTGAAGAAAGTGGATTTCCAGATTCTTTGGAAGGAACATCATCAATGGTGGTAGCACAGAGGAAGCAGTAGTGAAACAGGCCTGAAAAGGGGAAGGTGAAGAGTTTCCTCATTTTCAGGGCAGGGAGAGCCACAAGAGTGATTTGCACCATAAATGCTCTGAAGGATGAAATAGAATTGCCAAAGGAGGCAGAGGGGAAAAAAGAGACCTGGTTTTACTGATGGCCATAAGCTTTTTAAATGTGCAAGCGCTTTGGTACCATAACTGCTGCCTTTGTTCTTCAGAACGATTTGATGTTGTCAGTTTTTGAGAACTAAGTATCTGACACCATGCTACTTCTAGTCTGTGTTCCTCAGGGGAAGCTGGCTCTTTGTGCTCATCTTTGACAGGTGGTGGAGAGTAGGCAGAAGAGGAGTTTGAATCTGTGCAGTAGCCAAGCACAAAGCTCCTTTCACAATCCCGTTTTGATCATAATCCACACCCTGCAGGGCTTCTTGTCTGGCTAAGGTGGAGAACATGCTGAAACAGAGTTTTCTGTGCTTAGGGATGCTGCCTTGCTATCATCTCCACGAAGTTCTTCAAGGATGGATATGGTGAGCTTACAGAGCCTGCCAGACCCTGCAACCGTGTACATCGACCTGAGAGATGCTAAACCACAGGAGTCAGTAACATTCCCTGATGAGCAGCAAAGGTAAAGTCTGGCTTTACTGTTAGTGAGAAGTAGGTAATAAAAAGTGAGAAGCTGCAACCTCTCTGCAGCTTGTATTTGTGAAGTAGCTTTGAAAGTGTTCTCTCCTTCCACAGCTCTGTGACCTGAGTAGGAAAGTATAGCCCCATCTGAGCACAGGCATATTCTTAAGGCAGAATAACTTGTCTCAGAACATGTCAATGCATGGGGCTGCAGGCAACACAGCCACAATGTGCAAAATATCCAGGGAAATCACATTTACAAAGTTTCCATTCATAAAGGAGTGGGCTGGGACTGCAAAGCAGTGCTGGAGGCGTTGGGCCACTGTTGTTACGTTTTGGGTACAAAATGGACATCGTTTGCTACACTCCTGGCAAGCAACCATAGGTGCTGATTGCTGTCTCTTGTGGGATAAGAGGGCTTTCTAGGGAGGGCTGAGAGGCCAAATCCTTTTCAGTCTGCAATAGATGCTGGCAAAGATGTTCTTCCCCCTAAAGCTAACAGTGTCTGAGGCAGCTGTTTGCTTCCTTCTCAAGGTGTACGTTTGCTGGAGCAAGGGGTTGAAGAAAACAGTCCCCAGAAAAAACCTTGTCGTTAATAAACAGCTGTTAAGAAACACTAATGGGTTTTGATGTAGTTGCTTAATTTATTTTTTTTGGCAAGAGTACTAGTGTGAAGAGCTCTCTAACACCTGGAGATATATTCCTCGAAATTATCACCCCCTTTTTTATAACGGTTTTAAAACTGCAGCCTAGAAATGACAAAAAGCCAACTCCCAGTTGGAGCAGAGTTAACTCATATGGTCCAATTTGCTTCATAGCACAAGTGACAGCTCCACTGAAGAAGAAGAGACTATGATGATTGAGGACCAAGCAGAAAGGAGAAGGTGAGATTCTTTACCATAACCTTAGTGCAAATTATATGATGTTCACTTTTTCTTCTGAAACTAAAATAATTGCCCTAACAGTGCTTAGAGAGACCTCATGTACTGAAACATCCCTGTTTCTGGTCTTCACAGCAAAAAAGCCCAATAACAGCAGTGTTTCAGTCTGGCCCTAGGATATCACTCATTTTCTGTTCAGTAACGATACTGAAGCTAGAAAATAGTTGTTGATCCTTGAGGCAGCGCTGCAACTTGGTCCTGTATAGCTGCATGGGAGCAGCTCAAAAGACAATACAGCAGACCACAGTGGCTGGGGGAACCTGGTGCTTTCTCCAGACTTGCCAGAGTGACATGAGAACTGTTTTTTAAATAACTCAGAATCAAACTGAAAATGTTGTAGGGAGCTGACTCAGACAAATGTTTATCTTTAGAAATAATAAAATAAGCTAGAATGGATGTTGATTTAAAGAGAGTATTGAACACATTGTGGGCAGGGATGATCTCAAGTCTCCTTAACTGGGAGGAAATGAATAGGGGAAAGGGGAGAGAAAGTGTCGGATGGAATCCCAAACCATAAATTCTTCAGCAGGCACAGATGCCAACCTATTCTGTTGCTAAACTCAGGCTTGATTTATACCAATAGGTTGTTAAATACTTGTTTGATGCGAAGCAGCTATGTCATGTTTTAAACACCTTACTGCGTTTAGGCTCTGGGTTACATCTTACATGCATCAGGCTTCTAGATGTAATCCAGAGCCTAAATACAGTAAGTTCACATCACAGCAGTACAGAGGGCAAGAAGAACACTTACAATGTTGTGCCAGCCAATTACTCTTTTTATTTTTTATTGGTTTGAAAGAATACATGATTTGATGGGGAATGGAGCCTAACCAACATAATTTAGAACATCAAATCCAAAGCCAGAATAAAGCAGGGACAGGATGATGCTTGGGGAACTCTCACTGGCACTGATGCAAGTGCAGAAGTTTCATCAGTGTAAATCTGGAGTGATGGAGAGCAGAGCTTAACATATTGGGTTTTGATTTGTTTTAATGTTGCTAAAGAACATATGCAAATGAAATGCCTGGCAAATGTTGCTCAGTTCTGTTTCTAAATAAAAAAGCCTCAGAGGCTCAGCAGGGCAAGATTCTCATCTCAGTCATGAGGGGTCAGTGACAGTTTCACTCTTATCTGGATGGGTTTATTAAACAGGGATACATATTCTGTTCTACAATGTGCCTACATATTAGGGCTTGGAGAGTTAGTTGGTTTGATCTCCACTCATTTAGCCTGAAAAAATACACTTTTATATCTGGAGTCGTTGGGTAGTCAAGGCCACCTCTAGCAAATACCATAAGGCTGCTCTCTCCTAAATTACCACTGCTTAGGCCTACTCCTTAGTAGTCCAGCCATCAGTGTGAAATATTGATTTGATGGTTCTGGATATGATGGCAGGAGATGTGGGATTCTTAAGGAGAAAGAATATCCTATTTTTGATTTGTTCTGAACGCGCATAGGTTCAGTTTAGCTAAGTACAGCAGTATGATGCTCTGTGCTCTTACCACCTAACCACATCATTAATATCCAACTCAATCTGTTACTCAGTCCATGTAATTTTCAGCTGCCACTAAAATAAGGTATATTATTTGCTCATAATCACCACACGAACTACAAAGTGATAGCAGTCTTCCTGGAGCAGATGACTTGGGAGACATCACTGAGCAGAACTGCCAGAAAACATAACCGTATCTGCCCATTATGTCATGACAGGACATTTCACAGCAGAATACTATCACAATATTGTGGTTGCTGACAATTTAGCTGTCTCATTAACCTGGAGAAGACATAGAGCAAATCAAGCCAAACACACAGAAATCCTAAAAATTATTAGAAGAACTTTTCTTATGTATGTATTTAAATCCCAACACTTGTATCCAAAGGGGTCAAAAATCTGTAGACTCTAATTTCCCTACCAACATCACGTTTGTTCAGGGCTTTTCTGGAAGATGTGTGTTGTGCCTGCAATCCAGAACTGGTGACTAAATTGCCTGTAAGATCAGTGTCATTTTCTGTCACTGCAGTGTTCTCTATTGCCTATGTGCTGAAGCTCCTATTACCAACAGCTGTTATTTGTGTAGATGTCCAGCCCTTGATTTTAGCTGTCACTCAGAGAAGTTCCTCAGAGTTTGAATTTATTCATATAATGCTTTATCTTGGTTATGTTCTTTGCAGGAGGAATTGTTCAGCGAAAAGCCTGCTACTCCAACAACTCCATAGAGCCCATAAAGAAGCCTCAGAGCTTTCTCATGAAACATCTACACCAGCTGAAAAACTTGAAGGAATAAAACAGGATCCAGAAAGTCTGGAAGAGATAGGTGCATCTGAAATAAATCAAACCCCATATTATGAAGTGAGGCAAGAGACAAGTAAGGTGATTCCCAGGATAAGATTGGAACCAGAGAAGACAAATACCCCCTTGTCAAGCCATGGGGGTAATGGAAGTGACATAGAGAAAGAAACCAAAATGGAAGCTGAAAAGGTTCAGAATCCAGGAAATTCTCCAGTGCCTCCTCTAGCTACACCAGAATTGCCAAGGTATCATGAGAGAAGCCCTCAGCTGTTGTCTATGACTTATCTGACTGTCTAAAATTAAAGAACATTGCTTATCCAGTCTGCAAGTTGGAGCAAAAGGATATCTGGTTTTGTTACCTGGAAAGATGTCCAGTCCTGGTGGCTATTACTTAAAGGTTTATAGTCAGGCTTACTGGATCAGTGAATTGGCCTGGGACTGGACACACTATGGCAATTCTGACACTGGAAATGCAGCCATTTACTTTAGGTTTTATCCTGTTTAAGAGGAGGGTAAGACAGTATTGATCTCCTTCATGAAGAATGGTACTGAGATTTACTAAGCAGGGAAGGGTCTCTCTCCCTGTACCAGTATAGAGTGAGGTAAAATCTAGTCCTTTCCTGACAGATCTTTGCTTAACTTGATCTTGAAATCCTCAGTGGTGAGGATTCCTTGACCTCCCCCAGGTAGTACATTTCACTGCTTAATTATAATTGTAAAGCTTTTCCTTAAGTCTAAATGATCATATCTCCAATTTAAGCTTTTTTGTTGTTGTTGTTGTGTTCCCAGGAGGTATGGAAAACACTTTATTCTGATTTCCAACATGAAAAACCTTCTATAAACTGGAAGATGTGTCATGTCTCCCCTTGTAACTTTTTCCCAAACAAAGCAATTCTAGCATTAAGAAAAGCACAAGAGCTTAGAGGGACAAAGTACACCCCTATGGTATGGATTATGCCACAGGAATATCTTGGAATATCTTTGAAAACTGCTTTTTTATTTAAAGAAAGAGAAATAAGGATGGTATCAACTGAGGAAATAGCAGCATTCTTTGGGCCTCTGCCTCCTTGGGCTTAGTTTAATGTGGTGTATTTTGCATAAAGTCTAATTTGATACTTGAAATTGGGTGGTTGCCTTGTGCACCTGCCCAGCTATTTGGGAGAGCTCCATTATGCTGGCTTTTAAAGGTTATATTTTGCTATTTTGGGAGTGAAATTTACCATTTTGACTTTGCATGTAAGCCCTGGAAAGCATGAGAACCTGTGTGCTCTAGAGACTGTTGCTTTTTTTGGTGTTAAACATTTGCCTACCCTGCCAATCAGACAATGTGCTTGGTTTAAATGGCAGCTGGTTGGTTGCAGAGTTTTTCTGTATGGAATTCCTGACATTAAAGCTTCCTGTTTCATCGGTTCTATAAAACTGCATGTTGTCTACCTGTTAGCCTGCCACAGATCTGGCTGGGCCAAAATCTGGGTTATTTATTGTTGCTCTGTAATAGCTTCCAAGGATTTTAATGAATTTCAGTTTTATTGTTGGGGCACCTGGGGCTTGAAGAATTCAGGAGAAATTAAACTTCATATTTGCTGTGGAAATGGCAGATGAAATCTTTCTGCAGACATCAAAACAGAGAAAGCTGGAAAGCTTTGGGTCGGAGGAATGTGTCACTATATGACAGCAGATAGGAAAGGAAGTGGAGTTAGATGGGGAATTATATTCAGGGATAAGATGTGAAACATCACAAACATGCCTCTGCTTAACAGAGTTCTGGTCTCCAAATAGACTGTCACCACTTACCAGAGGTCTGAAGTCTGCTTGTTTGCTTTGTTTTTGTGGCTTTTTTATTTAGAGAGATGATTTTATCCAATAACAAGTTCTTGTGTGTGTGTGTGTGTGTGTGTGTGTGTCCCTGCCAAACAACATAAGCACTTTCTAAACCTGTTTTAGCCTCTCATGTCATGATTCACTCTCAAATGTGTGGTATAAATATAAGAAAAAGTAAATACAAACAGATGAATAAGGGTGCCTTTTTTTTCCAAAGTGAAAAGCTTAAGCAAAGCAGAATCTGTATATTTTTCAGGGCAGAAGAAAGTAAAAAAGAGCTATCCCAAAAGGAAGAACAGATGAAAGAGAGACACAGGAGACACAGATTCCAGGAGCAGCTGGAGAGATTGCAGCCTCAGCAGTCAGTTACTGGAAAGCAGCCCATGGCAGAGAATACCCCTGTTTTGTTCCACATGGTTAGTGGTTTAGTGTAGGACTGTCCCTTTCAGAATGGTCTCCTAACTAAATGCAAGTGTGATTTTAGGAGCAAAAAGTAATTTTCATTGCATTATTTAAGCTCTTTGTTATGGAGCACCATTACCTGATGACATGAGCAGTCCTACAGCTCTTCTCTCACACTAGTATCTTTCTCACCTTTCCTGTACGGGGTGTGCTCCCCATATAGCTGCGCACTAGATTTGACATGTCAGCGTATTCCAGGAGCCCTGTCGTGCTGAAGTGAGTGAGCTCAGTGTCATCTGCTTCACAAGCACCAGAGTTTCACAAACATGATTAATCATAACCTTTTAGAAAAATGAAGTTTGTTGTTTTGTTTGGGTTTTTTTGGTCATACTTCTAAAGCAGAGCTGGGTCTGTTTGTCTGCTCCTAGCAGCTTTATATTTCAGTTTTGTGGGGGGGGTTTGGGGATTCTGAGTTTAATAATAGGTTTTGCTCTTCACTAATGTCCTGATTAAGGAAGTATGAAATTATCCTGATTTTCTTCCCAGAGCCTAAGTTATGGCTCAGAGGACAGGGCTGTTTTTCCTCCTGAGAAGACTTGTATATGTAGTCCTAATTCATCCTTGCACTGATCTCATTGAACACAAGGCCAGCTGAGAAGGTGAGAGGAGATGAGAACCTCTGGAGTTTGTCCATGAGTCCACCAGAAAGATTTATTTGAACTCATAACAGTAACAAAGCTCTACTGTCAGTACACAAGTTGAAAGACCTTAGAGCCCTAAACTAGGAGATGGACTATTCACATCTGGATTTTTGGTAAGAAGTTGACTGCTGTATTTCTGGAGATTGGAAGCTCATTTTTGTAGCACTGGATTAACTGCTGATGGGCAGCAAAGAACTAACAAAACTGGAGCTGACTCTCCCTCTGCCAGCTTGCTCTGGCAAGGCCAGTGCACTGCACAGAGTTCTGCTTTGAAGGTGTAAAGGTCATGAATGTAGTCTTCAGGCTTGCTTCAGTCTCAGTCTCCTGGGAGTTACCACCAAATAAATTCCAGTTAGCCCTTATTAGGATGCAGGCACATACTTGCTCATTGGAAATACACTTGGGCCTTGCTAACTCATTCCTGACAGTGCACCAAGTGATTGTTGAGTTGTTCTGCGTCTTGATCATTTCCCACATTTGCTGTGCTGAAGCCAATGAAATTAAGATGAGGGCTTGGTAATGGGGTTTTCCCTCAAGTAGGGCTCAGGGAACAGCTACACTATAGTCTTGCTGTAACTAAATTGCAGTGTAATGATGCGCATTAATAGATGTAATGCTATTCCTGCCGGCTACTCATGGACAGTGGCATAAACTAACCAGCCCAGGGCTTACTCGGTGCCTGATGTCTGTAGAAACAGCTACCCAGTACCTGAACCAGCAGCCTGCTGGAAGGAAACCAGCCTGAGCTTACTAGGCACTGTTGGTAGAAACAATATCAGCACAACCCATAATAACTGTGTTCTATGAGCGACTTTGCTCTTAGTTCTACTTCAGAAATTTCCGTTATTAAAATTAAGAGAGAAAAATGTATTAGCATCATCAAATACAAGTCATTTGTAAGATTACTTGAAATACATCTTGACAGCAGCATTTTTTCTTTGAGTTAAAACAGGTTTTTCTTTTCTTACTTTTTCCCTTTGTTGCTCAGAGGAGCACAGAAAAACTTGAATGTTTTGACATTTAAAACTAAAGAAGCTGTAATTTGGCAGCTGTATCTCAGTGAAAATATCTGATATCTATATATAAACACGTATATTCAAAGAACAAGCCACACTTTGACAGAGTAGCACACTTTCAAATTTGTTTTTTAAGTCCTTTGTGTTGGCAATGATAGATGTTCAGATCTGGAACACTTGTCATAGTTTCCAGAATTCCTCTGACCATTTATAATGTACATAAATAATTGAACTGAATAATAACCAGAGGGAAAGTTTAGAAACTCTGCAATTACTGAGGCTGAGGTGCTGGGAAAGAAAAACAAAATGTGAAAAGCTGCATTAGGGTTGCATTAGAGTTCTTGTCTAAAATTTAAAAGCAGTGACATTCAGATTTAATGCTGGTGGGCTTTTTCTTAACCTAGTTCAGTCAAACTCTGCTCAGCTTCAGTCTGGGAAGCACTGATGTAAATGAGAATCAGGTTTGGGAAAAACACTTTCAAACCAGTGCAGGTAATTTAGGAGCCTAAGAACCAGCTTTCAGAGGTATTTCAGGTAAGCCAGCAGAGTGGTGGTGGGATCCATGCTGTGAGGTCAGGCTGAGTTAATAATTTAGAGTAGCATGCACAGGCTTTGTTTCAGTATTTGGGCAGAGTAAGCATTACTGACAAGGGAGACAGAGAAGGAATGCTGCACAGCATGTAAAATGCTTAAGTGGAGGATGTGAAATGAAATGGGCTTGATTTGTCATTCATCTTGTGTAGTATGACAGAGTAACTTACTACCAATGTTGATTTCTATATCACATTCCCATTAGCTTGGATCTGGATAATAGTTAATATCCCAGGCTAATATCTGAGTTTTATGTCAGGGAGCAGCACAAGCAGGTTACTCTGTAAAAATAAGACAAGAGAAGACAAGGGAGGAGCTGCAGGTGATAGCAAGGCAGGCAGGGGCAGAGACCTCACCAGTGAGGCGTACAGTTCCCCAGTACCCAAACAAGAGCAGAACAGGTCCATTGAGAGTATCCAGTTGGGAAGTCTGTAGGAATGAGGTAGGTCCTAAGATCAACACCAGAAAGACCGTCTGGGGCAGGACTGGTCCAGTGACAGTCTAGGGTCAGGGTGGGCCAGCAGCTCAGTGATCACCCAGGGAGTCTGTAGTGATAAAGCAGGTCTGAGACCAAGCCTCAAGGTCAGATCTGTTAGTTATGGGCAGGGTTCACCTGAGTGATATGAGGCCTGGGAAAGGTAAAGGTGTGGTGTAGCTCAAGGTGACACCAAGGATAAGTGTCTGAGCTTAAATGCAGCTCTCAAGTGAAGAAGGGCCCAGCAGAGGCTTCACAGCACTCATTAGTGATCTCATTTGGCATTACTCCCCAATCTTGTGTCAGAACTGGCCTTGAACACCAGCATGGCCCTGATACTTCACATCCCACTATGGAATTAATGTACCAGACAGCAACTGGTATTTAGCTTTTTCAAGCCTTTTTACTACTGGGACAAAATAGGTATTTTCAGCAGGGCTTCAGCTTGCTTCTCTCTTTACTGTTGCTGCTCTATTGTGATATGGCAGAACAAGATAAGAAGTTTGAAAGCTGTTTGGAGTCACCTTGCTGTCAGTATGTTATAAACACTGTTTTATCTACCTTGTACAGCTAAATTGTTTGGATGATGAATGTGTTGACTCGTACTGAAGCATCTAAATTTTCTTGGCTACACAATCACTTTGGCTTACCTCATATTAGTAATTATATTACCATGATTATCATCTTAGTGCAGCTTAGCCTTACAGCTGGCTTACAAAACAGAAACATTCAGGCATGCAACAGACCTATTCTAGCTTAACAAATCTGTTATGATGATACTTTTCCTTCTCATGAACATAGACTCTATAACCTTTCTGCCAAAATTGGTAGGGTTTTTAGATTAAGATACCATTGACTCAGCTCACTACTGTAAGGTAAAATTCTCAACTGAAAGTTTTTTCTGCTTGCATTCCCACAAAGCTAACATTACCAATACACTATGTCAAAATCTTCCCTCTCCTATTAGGGCTTTATTTTCACTTAGATCTGATATTGCTCCTATAGTGAAATCCCTGACAAAATTCCTTGCCATCAGGAGTAGTGCCGAAGCATTTATGTTCAGTTACTGTGGCAGTTACCCTGGATTAGCACAGTGTAACTGAAAGTAGAGGTAGATTTCCAAGCTTGTAGAGGGATTTTAGTTCAGTTACTGCTCCCATATGGGTGTGTTTTGTACTTTTGGGTCTGGGATTTTTTTGTATATATAGTAGGTGCCTTGATCCACACTGTAGTCAGTGAAAAGCTTTTGATTTGTTACCTGTCTTGCTAAAATAGGTGTCCATGATTTTCTGTATGGGTGTCTTGGTCTCTTTAAGGTAGCATTGGGAATTGCCTTTTTCTGGTGTCTTATTTGAGCACAAAGTGTTGCTCATGAGCAGAGGGCTCCAGGATCCTAACCCAACAGTTTACCAGCTGGACTGCTTGACTTTGGTATTTCACAAACTCCATTGCAGAGCTTCTCATATGAATACACTTAGGTGATGTCCTAAGCAATTTTTAAAAAGTCTCCATTTTTGATGTTGTGTGGAGAATGCATAAAGGAAAAGATGGTAAGAAAGTGAAATTCATGTCTTGGTAGAGATAATGTAGAAGGACCTGATCTACCAGTTATGAAAGAAATAGGGTTTGTGCTAGTTCTATACAGAAATACCAATTAATCTTCCAGAAAGTGGTGATTATACATCTTTGGAGAAATGGAGACAAACTGTACAATCTTATTTCAGTCATAATGATCTTGTGGCACAGTAACTGAGTTTTTCTATATCTGTAGTACTCTAAAACTGGTCTTATGAGTATAAATCGCCCTGTGACCAAATGTTTTCATATATACTGAACCAAAGCCACCACTATATTTGCACCTGTGTGGATGTAACTGAACCCAGCATTAAGCCCTTGCTATTATTTTACTATAGCTTAAAAAAAGCACATTACAAAATATTTCCTACACTAAATCTTTTTCTGACATCAGAGCTGAATTTGGCTTGTGCTTCACTTCGGAACTGTCTGCGGGGTTGTGGCCGGCAGCAATGTGCCAACCAGCCTGCAGATGGCCCCTGAATCCCTCCCCTGGTTTTTACAGGGACGGACTTAATGAGTTCCTGAAACAAGATTCAAATCTGTTGTACTTAATGAACTTGCTGCCTCAATTCAAGAAAGGCTTAAAAATAAACGAAGGCAATTAGAGACGTAGTTAAATTTAGCATGCATAATCAGAAGGCCAAGATTCCTGT